CAGAGCAATTCAGGTCCCTTAACATTACAGAAGGTGGAGGTAAGAGAAAGGAAAAGAGGCAGAAAGAGAGAGGTATGTATACATTTACTGAGCATTGTAGGCATAGACCTAGAGTAGGCTCATTCATGGGGGAAGCCAGAAAGGCTTGCTACCTCCGCTATTTGATTGGGGCAGCACCAGTTTGCTACGGTGTTCCCACAGGAATCACCAGAAAATTAGATTAGATATCTGTGTAAATTCCCTTTTTTCTATTTTATTTTTCTAAAATTAGCTGGTAGTATTGAGAATATGTAAATGAATTTTGAACTGAGTTTTAATGATATACACATTGCAGCATCTGATATGAATGTATAATGTATAAAAACTCTTTAGTGTGAGTGTTTTTATGTTTCGAAAGCTTTTAAGCATAAACTAATAAATAATACTTGCATCATTTGAATTTTGAATTGAGTTTCAATGATATACACATCGTAGTATTTGATCAAATCTATGATGTACAAAAGCTCTTAAATATGTGTATTTTTATGTTCTGAAAGTTTTATAAACATAAACTTTAATAAACAATACTGCAGCATTTGAATTTTGAACTGCAATGATATACACATTGCAACGATGAGAACTGATTGTATTATATTTTCTGAACTTAATTACAATGAGATCAGATGATGTGAATATATAGAATAGAGAGTCACAGTGTGACAATGATAAGAAGTAGAGAGTCACAGTGTGACAAGGATAAGAAGTTCTAAACAGACTCATATACATAGAGTCCTAATACTCCCCCTCAAGCACAGTGTATACTAGTAACCTGTAGCTTGTCCCTTAAGGAAGAAAATCTAGGTCCAGGCAGAGCTTTGGTGAAGATATCAGCAAGTTGATCCTTTGTGGAGATGAAGTTGACTTGGATATCGCCCGAAGCTACTCGATCACGAACAAAATGATAATCAATCTCCACATGCTTGGTGCGCGCATGAAAGATTGGATTGACACTCATATATGTAGCTCCTAGATTATCACACCATAATTTTGGAATGGAAATACCCGGAATCTGTATCTCACGCAATAATGACATAATCCATAGAACCTCAGCACAAACATCTGCAAGAGCTTTGTATTCAGCCTCAGTGGATGACCTGGCAACAGTTCTCTGTTTCTTGCAAACCCATGATATAAGATTGCTCCCCAAGAAAACAGCAAAACCACTCGTGGATTTTCGATCGTCAGGACAACCAGCCCAATCAGAATCAGAGAAAGCATGAATGTCTCTAGATGAGCACCGTCGTATGTGTAAACCATGATCAACTGTTCCCTTAACATACCTGAGTACCCGTTTGAGCTGCTCCCAGTGTGATATGGTGGGGGCATGCATATGCTGGCATAACTGATTAACTGCAAAGGATAGGTCAGGTCGTGTGACAGTGAGATATTGCAGTGCTCCAGCTAGACTCCTGTACTGTGTGGGATCATCATATAGATCTGAATTGAAGGGGATAGTTTTCGAGACAGAGATAGGTGTAGAAAGGGGTTTGCATTCAGACATTCCAGCCCGTTTTAAAATATCATTCATATACCGTTGTTGAGATAAAATAATCCCATTGTCACTCTTAACTGTTTCAATACCCAGAAAAAAATTTGGTTCACCAAGATCTCTGATTTTGAATGTAGCAGACAGTTTGGACAAGAGCTGAGACATAATACCTTGATTACTTCCCATTACAAGAATGTCATCCACGTACACCAATAGATAAACCAAAGCAGAGTTTTTAGAGTAATAGAACAGAGAGACATTTGTCTTGGATGCTTGAAAGCCAACCGATAATAAGAACGTATGTAGTCGATTAAACCAAGCTCTGGGAGCTTGTTTTAACCCATACAGAGATCTTTTTAACAAACAAACATGATTCGGGAAGTTAGCATCAATATAACCAGGGGGTTGCTTCATATAAACTGTTTCAGCCAGATTACCATTCAGAAAAGCATTATAAACATCTAGCTGTTTATAGACCACCCAGATGATAAAGCTAGAGATAGAAGGAGTCTTACAGTCGTAGGCTTTACCACTGGACTAAAAGTGTCGAAGAAGTCCTGACCTGGAACCTGATTAAAACCTTTCGCAACCAGCCTGGATTTATGCCTTTCAATAGCACCATCAGCCTTTCTCTTCGTACGAAACATCCATTTACAGCCAATAATATTCATACTTGCAGTGGGTGGAACTAGAGACCATGTGTGGTTATGCAGGAGAGCATTGAACTCTTGGTCCATGGCTTCACGCCACTCAGGATATTTGACAGCTTGAGAGTAACATGTGGGTTCCGTGGGATGCACTTGAGCTGCTAGAGCAAAAAGAGGAGCATCTGCGTTGCTGCGAGTGGCCATAGAGTGAGTACGGACATTGGGCCTGATGGACCGCCCACGTGGACGGCCTCGCCGGCGAGCAACAGGCTCTACAGGATCACCCGACGAGGCAGCCTGTCCAGGATCCACGGCTGGTTCGAATGAAGCAGGTAGCGGCGGTTTTGGCGGCTCATCATTGGACACGGCAGAAATAGGTGTGCTGTGACTGAGAACAGATTCCGCCCAAGGTCCAGAAAACGGAGTAGATAGATCCTGCAAAGAAGTTTTAGTAGCAAAGGGGAAAACTTCTTCATCAAATCTGACATGCCTGCATGTGTAAATCTTATTAGTATGTAAGTCCATGCATCTGTACCCCCTAAAGGACTCAGGATAACCTAGGAAGACACATGGAGAAGACCTATATGACATCTTATGACGATTATATGAATATGGTCGAAGATGAGGGTAGCATAAACACCCAAAGACACGAAGAAAAAGATAGGAAGGAGGGGATTTATGTAACAGGAGATGAGAACTGGAGTTATTTAATACAGAAGATGGCATTCTGTTAATTAAATAGACAGCAGTCTCAAAGGCAAAATCCCAAAATTTTAAAGGAACAGAGGCATGAGCTAGAAGAGCCAGACCAGTTTCAACAATGTGACGATGTTTTCGTTCAACACGACCATTCTGTTCATGTGTATAGGCACATGATTGTCTATGTTGAATTCCTAATTGACAAACAAAGAATGCAACTTTTTGTACTCAGCACCTAAATCAGACTGAATGGCCTTTATTTTGCAATTAAAGGACCGTTCAACAAGAGTACAAAATTTATCAAAGATGACATAAAGATCAGACTTTAATTTCATAGGAAAGAACCATGTATAACGGGAATAGTCATCCACAAAGATCACAAAATAACGGAAGCCAGAAGTAGATAAAGTGGGCGCAGGACCCCAAATGTCTGTGTAAATAAGATCTAGGACTTGAGAACTAAAGGAAGCAACACGGGGGAGGGGAAAACGGGCAGATTTGCCTAATTGACACGCATTGCATAAAGAATTATGACAACGAATATTATCACGAGACCCACTAACCAAACAAGAACGAAGTATATGGCTAAGAACACGGTTATGAGGATGACCTAGACGATTGTGCCAAGTGGAAGCTGAGGCACGAGCGGAAATAAACACTGACGGAGACGAACTAGGTAATGAAAGTGTGTATAGTCCCCCTGAACTATTGCCCCGAAGAAGTATTTCCTTGGTATTGATATCTTTTACAACAAAAAAGGAGGGGTGAAACTCAAAAAAGACTTTATTATCGGATGCAAACTTCTGAACAGATAATAAAGAATTAGACAAACGCGGAACGTGAAGTATATCAGACAATGTAAATGATCTAGAAGGGGTATTAAAAGAGGCATGGCCAACATGACTAATAGATAAACTCATACCGTCACCGACACGTAAAGTGTCATTACCAGTGTACTTCTCCGGTGTAGAAAGGGCAGCGATGTTCGGAGTTGCATGATTTGTGGCTCCAGTGTCCGGAACCCAAGTATGAGAATTTGACGAGGTTTTAGCAACTAAACCATTCTGAAACACCAAATTAGCCTGAGAACCCGGAGCCCTTGAATATCGCCGAAAACAGTTGACTCCCGTGTGACCGAAACTTTTGCAAATTTGACACGGATCATTATAGCGCCAAAAACAATTGGCTCCCGTGTGACCAAAACGTTTACAAATTTGACACGGATCATCATAGCGCCAAAAACAATTGGCTCCCGTGTGACCAAAACGTTTACAAATTTGACACGGATCATCATAGCGCCAAAAACAATTGACTCCTGTGTGGTCGAAACCTTTACAGATTTGACACGGATCATCGAAGCCACGTTGCTGACCTCCACGGTAATTAAGGTTGCCATCGCAGCGCTGCATCTTCTTAATTTTATGAATCACAAAGCCCTAGCTAACTGATACCAGATGAGAACTGATTGTATTATATTTTCTGAACTTAATTACAATGAGATCAGATGATGTGAATATATAGAATAGAGAGTCACATTGTGACAATGATAAGAAGTAGAGAGTCACAGTGTGACAAGGATAAGAAGTTCTAAACAGAGTCATATACATAGAGTCCTAATAGCAACATCTTTCGCGTTTCATACTTTGTTAATGTAACACTATCAAAATTGTTAATTTAGTATCTTAACTATATTCAATTTTTTAAATTAAATCTGGTCATTCTGACCAAATTGTCGACCAAAACTTACTGGAAAATATTGTTAGGTAAAATAATGATAGTATTTTAATAAGAGAAGTAAAAAGACCAAAATACTCTCATTGTTTTACTTATTAATATTTTTCAGTAAAGTTTGACTGACAATTTAATTAAAATGATCAAAATTGAATAGTTAAAAGGTACTAAATTAACAGTTTTGAAAATATGAAATTAACAAGACTCCAATAATCCTCTAAGATAACAGTGAAATTAACGCTACTAGCCAAATACTCAACAACCAAAAGTTAGGTGCACGTGCGCTGCAAAAGTTGGTGTCTGTATAAAACTAGTAAAAAATCCAGAGAAGAGAGAAGAAAACTGGTTGTGTGTAATTAGTAATGACTAAGTAATAACAGCAGAGGCAAAGTAACAGAGAGTAAAAGCATTGTACAGAGAAATTACATCCATTTTGTGAAATTGACAGGTGAAATGTTGCCAGAGAAGGAGAACCAGCAACAAATGTAAAAATAAAAATAGAAATAAACCACAAAGAAACACCTTTCTTTGGGACCCTCCAATGATACTAAGCCATCATATCATACAAATCCATGTATTGAACATCAATGATGGGATGCAGATGATGTGAATGAAATGGTAAGTTAAAAATATCCCCTTTTTTTTGTTTGGTTTCTTCAGAATATCTAAACTAAGAAGACCCTAAAATGTCCTCTTCTTCTCCTTCTCATTTATACTGTCAACAATAATAATAACATCTATCCTCGACCTCCGGGGTCCTCAGTACGCCTTCGTCTCCTCCCGGAGCGTCCCAACAGGACTCTACCATGGCGGCGAAGGCGCCCAACTAGTGATGTGCTGTTTTCATGTACTACGTTGCCAATACCATCGCTGTCTACATCATCAGGGTAGTCGAAAACTGGAAGGTTGCGATCTAATCCAGCAGTGCCTCCACCTGATGCACGGGCTGGGTCCCTACTACCACCATGCCGCCTCGAGCCTCTATTTGAGCCAATATTACCTGCTGAACCAAATGCCTGCAAAAAACGTAAGACATTAATCAAGTTGCCATCGATTCCCACTCCAAAGCCTTCGTTACGGTCCATCACATCGACCTCAAATCCATCCTCATCCTCTGAGCCAAAACCAAACGGGCTTCCTTCTATCACATAGTCACCGAAAACAACTGCTCCTGGCATTGACGACCTTATTGTGCTGATCACATCGTCCCTCTCTCTTTCCCCCTCGAGCCGCCTCCATTTCTGTTCAAGGAGGGGATCCATTTCGCGAGGCTTAGCAGAAGGGTGCTCTGTCTTAACATGCTTGCGCATCTCCTTAAAGTTTCCTACAAATGAACACTCATCCTGCATGCAGCTACGTTTCTTAGCATTCAGGTATGCACGTGCAGGTTCAACCACAGTCCATCCTTTCACTTGCCCACGACAGAGTGGGCATGCAAGCTCTGTAATCTCACCTTTCTCAGCAGGCCAATCAGAAAACGGGGCAGGGGCAGGGGCAGGGGCTGGGTTATTGATTGAACTTTGAAGAGATTGGCTTTGATTTAGTAATTTAACTTTCGTGTAAGCTTTCTGGTACTGATCTAGGCAATTTGAATAACGGTAGCTAGTTCCGCACATGTAGGGGCGGCAGCCTTTGTCGTGGGAGGAGCACAGGAGAAGAACCGCATTGTGAGGATATTCCATGCATACTGAACATGTTGCATCTTCCCAGTCATTCTTAAACTTTTTAGAGCATTTCTTTTGGATTGGGTCCCCTGATTGATTCACAGATGGCAAAGGGTATGGAGTTGGCCTACACTGTCGTGAGGTGATCCTGCGTCTTCCTCTGGTTCCCTTTGCCATGTCCTAAATTAATCTGTAAAAGGAAAATAATGCATTAAAATAATATTTTAGAATCAGTTCATGAATTTGAAATCTTCAGAAAAACCCATTGTATAACAAGCTTTAGGTTGCCATTATCCTGTCATGTATCAGTGAATTTATTTTATTTTATTTTATTCGTTCATTGTATTAACTATTGGGACTTTTTCAGAATATTGTTGCATAAAATTGATGAAAATGAAAAGCTGAATTCATGTTTCTATTTCTAACAAATCCACTCATGACAGAAGCAGTTTTGCAGCACTAGCCTCAAAGAAAAGATACGTAACACAGACAGGACCAAGAAAGTGGATAATTGGAAGATAGTTAGGTGCCTGGGAGGTTGGTTTTGTAGCAAACGTTGCAAGAACTGATATCTTCTCAGTTGAGCTATGGGGGTTTAAAAGAGGACGAGGGAGGGACTTTCAATCCACAGCAGTTGTGGCAAACTTTATTGGGTAAGGCAGAGAAGAGGATGAGGGAGGGGAGGGGGAAGAAGCAAATGGCAGTGAGCTCTTACAATTCAAATAGAGGTAAGTTTTCTATTGGTGCCCAGAAACCGAATCTATTATTGGGTTATGCTTTACAAGAGCATATGCAACTAGCAAAACACGTAGATTTTCATGATATTCTGGTTATTAGCCATCAAATAAAAAAGACAACCTATTCAATATCACAGATGTCAAACCCTTTCACCCTCACTAACATAGCAGTAAAAGAAGTTGAAGTGGTCTCTTCAGGAATACCTTAAGGAGATCCAGCGATAAGCATCCATATATTATCAAAAGGGTAAATAATAAAGGATGAAAATGCAGAACTATCCTCGTTCCATCATCAAGACTACATACAAGCATCCCGACTGCAGATAAACAAACCGCCAGTCCGCCACTAAGCAAAGCAGTTGCCCGGAAGAAATCAGGATTTATCTGCTAAACTGCAAGTCTAAGGATAACATTCTCCAAACTGACAAGCAACCTCGTCCAAATGTCTTTAGACAAAGCAGTGAACCAGTAAGGAAAACTCACCGGATGTTGCTATTTAGTCCTAATGGTTGCACGGCATATTCTCCGGGTTTAAATCCTCAACAGCATACAACACTAACTATCACTCTTCAAAAGAGGCTAACATAAACTGAGGCGGTGTGTTGCTAAATCACAGAAATATCTAAAGAAGTTACTATTTTGTAGATGTACAAAGATAAGGTCCCACATTACATATCCACAATTTCTCAATATACTAAACTATTACTAGTATAAAGTAATCAGATCCCAACAAGCAATTCATTCCTAAGAAATTTGAATGCATCACAAATTAACTTCAAGTTGAAATGCAGAACAAGAATGGCCGAATCACTAAACTCACCCCACTGAATTTGTTATAAGCCAATATAACTTAAACTTCTATCTTCAGACTAGACAAATATAAACTTCATCATGATTCCTATAGCATATTTTCCATTAATCCAGGAAACCAAGAAAGAAAAAGGCATATTTCAGAGGCAACCTCAGCCATGTTGGTCAGGATGTGACTTGGTAACCAGAAGGTTACAAGTTCGACTCCTAGGCCAACCTAGGTTGGTTTACCACCTTGTGGTACTTTGCCGAATAAGATCACGAGGCAAAGTTTACTCAATGCACATTCTGGTAGTGGATGCGGTTTCACCAACACTCAAATAAATAAATAAAAAAGGGCATATTTCAGAACCACAGTCCAAGTTTTTAAGTAAATAGATTTGAGGATTCCAAATGTATGAAGGAAGCATCAAACCTGTAGGCTGTAGCATTCTTGAATCAAATTAGACTTAATAGCAACAGCAATGAAGCCTAATAAACAAATACTTCCATTTCTATTAAGGGACAATTCATCGAACATATCAAAGGCATCTCAATTTCAAGAAAACCCAGATCTGAAGCAAAGATAAGCAAACCCACTGACCTAACCTCATGCTTCGACAAAATTCAATCTTTACACATATATACATACATCATAAACTCACAACGGGGATTCAGAAAAATGCATCAAAATACACGAAACAACAACGCTCCCTCAGCGAGCAACCAACCATCCATCCGTCCCAGATTCGCATTCTAGTTTATTCCATCTCAACCAATCCGCTCCACAAAAAGCGGACCCAAAAACAACAGCCTACTGACCACAGATCAGAAATTCGAAATACAGGAATTGGAGTATTCGTACCGGAGATTTTCTTGAAGAAGACGGGTTGAATCAGAATCCTAGAAAGAGAAAAGTGGGTTGAGAGAGAGAGAGAGCGAGGGGGGAAGGATTATGGGGTTTGTAATTCGTGCAGATGATTGAACTGGTTACGGAAAAATCGAGCTTTCCCGTGAAAATTTAGAAGAGAGAGAATGGCAGAAACGGGATGAGAGAGAACAGCTCATTGAGTCATACAGACTTTTTATCGGAATTCTCGACTCATCTCTACGCTACTCTCTCTCTCTCTCTCTCTCTTTAGAGTTTTTTTTTTTTTTTTTTTTTTTTTTTTTTTTTTTTAAGATATGCTTTATTTGCTTAGTTGGTTAAGTAGTAAAGTTTGAATAAAATAACTCGAGATCGAATCTTACCCGCAGCAGATAAGCAAAGTCTAATCAATTGGATTATTATGATCTATATCTTTCTAAATATTTTGTCATCGAGACGTGTAGGTCATTCAATACAATCAATTAATGACAAAATACTCTCAAAAAAATTAATTAATAACAAAAATATTAAATTTACAGATTTTCCACTTACGTTATGATTTTTTTTTTTACCTCATACCTCTTATGTGTTTGATTTAATTACCGACTTAATGTAACTTGACTTTAAATAGTTTAGAAATTAAATTTTTATAATATTAATTTTATTATTAGTGTATAAAATTTATGAAAAAAAGGTTATGATGTCCACAGACATTATTCTTCCTTATACAAATTTATTATAAAGTCAAATAGTGTGAGAACAATGTGTCAATGTTAACTTTGTACCTTATATAAATTCAAACTGTCAAATACTTTATGCTTAGATGACACATATGTGGCTCTCCTTGAAGAAATATTACATGATTAAATCTCAATGGTGGGGTATTTGACTCCTTAGCTGCAACAGATATGAGAAAGTATAAAACATGTACTACTTTGTAATAGAGTCAAATCATTTTGAAGTGGTACCAGTTAAAAAAAGTGTATCGATCAACGATTTAAAAATTTTTCTAGAATTTATGTATTTAGAAACTACATAAGAAATACTATTAAATATAAAAAAAATAAAGAATAAATAATTAATTTGACCATTAAATAATAAATAAGATAGTTAAAATAGGATGGAAGTACAAGTAATAATTTGTAATTTTGTCATTAAAAAAATAATTTGTAATTTTGTATTATGTTTTTTTTTTTTTTTTGTTTGTTTGTTTTTTTTTTTTGTTTTTCAATATTTTAGTAAATTTTAGCATAGTTTTGTTTGTTTAGTCTATTAGTGATGATAAATGGGCTGGACTATTCATGAGTTAGCCCATGACCCAATTCATATACATTTAAAAAAAAATTAATATTGTTAATTTACTATTTAGGAGATGCATGAGAATGTGTTGATTGTATTAATGAGAGTTATCTGATCTGTTTGTAGTATACGTGATAGTACAAGAAGTAATATGTAGTAGAAGATGATATTCTCATGCAAGATAAGTCAATGTTTTAGCACAAAGAGTCAAATCGTCTCCACTGAAACTCGAATTCACAACTTTTTATATAGAAGAGCAATTTGGTGTCACTAAACCATAATATCTTTGGCGATAAATTAATGTTTATACAAACCCTTTCATCAATGCAATGATGGCTCATGAGACGTGATTTTTAATATGATGTGCCCTAATTTATTTTTTTTTTTGGTGTAAACCACACATTGTGATCCGGGTCTTTCTCCGTCCGTGTAACGGTCCAGGTCCACCCGGTTTGCAAGCGATGTGCCCTAATTAATGGATACATATAATTGGTTAATTTGTGGTGAACATTCTAAAAGAACATTGCTCCTTATAAAATAGGATGGAGGGCAATAGTAACCTAGTCCACACTCTCGAGTTAGCTCTCTTCAAATTAACACCCATCTTGCTATGGCACCTAGCCCCTTCTTATTAGTCGATGCTAAAAGTGAAACCATTATGTATGTATAAATAAAGGGGTTCATGGCGTGACGTGTTCTAGTTGGTGGATAAAAATAATTGGTTAATCTGTGATGTACTTTTTAAAAGAACATTGCTCCTTACAAAATGGGATAAAGGGCAATACCCTTGGGTTGTTACTGCTCTCCTTAAATCAATACCCAAAGGTTGAATCCCCAACCCTAAGGGCCCCCACACTCCGACGGATGTAAATCACGGTGACTCAATGGTTCAGTGAATAGGGCCAAATGTCGGTGCGCACAAGGAATGACATAATTCCCGCACTGCCACTGTCGAGGTTCAAACCTTGGTCTTTTGTCCCAAATACTGCCCACTAAACCATTGAGCTAAGCTCGTGCGGGTAATGCCACCAAATCTTCTCTTATTAATTGATGCTAAAAATCAGACTACCATTCTTCCAAAAGTTGAACCCCAACCCTAAAATTAGACTATCATGTATGTATAAATAAAGAGGTTTTAAGTGCAATATATTAAAAATAAATAAATAAACAAAGAGAGTAAAAGATTCCGGCAAATCCACACTAACACCAGAAACATTAATTTGAAAAGCAAAGGCAAACCACAACTTAGAAACATACCAAAGTTGAAAAAAAAAAGAAACTATGGATCCATTTGGTTTGGAGACTTGGAATGGGAAGCTTGAGATTCATTATAACCAGGCAAATCATCATCATCTTGATCATAAATGTGCTCTGCCATATGTGTAGCAAGTTGTCAACGGCTGTGCTGGCGACGACCCATTCCTCGCATGGGTTCCACGAGAAGTCTGTAATACTATTCGTGTGGCCACCGTGAAGAAAGAGCAACTCTGGAGGGCCAACTTCAGCATCTTGTTTGGTTTGTTTCTGGCCAATCCTGGCAAGAAAGCCAAAAGAGTGAATTAGTGGTCTGTCTTGTTCCTGCATCTGTATATTTTGGGATTTGGAAACAGTTTTGACAGTAGAAATTTCAGGAAAACAATATGGCCAGGGGAGATCAAGTTGGCCACTTCAAAAAATGAGATCTACACAGCCAAACTTTCCTTATTTGAGAGTCTCTCTCCCTCTCATATTCTCAAATAGGACTTGTGGGCATGAATGCATGATTTCATTTATCTAAAGAACTTTAACATATAAACAGAAAACCAAACCTGCATTGTAATAATTCAAAATTTACCCTCTGCCAGACCATATATAGTTCAATGCTATAATTCGGTCATACAAGGAAAGAAATAATTGGTGGTTTAATTCTCCACATGTTTAGCTATGCGCCATGTAACAGTAGTGAAGAAATACCTGCAAAGATCCCAAACAACAAGCCTCTTTCCAGCACAACTTGAAGCCAAGATGGTCTCATTTTTGGGATTCCATCTAACATGGATAACCTCCTCCCTGTCACAAGGTTCAGAAAAGCCTTTCATACTTGTTTGCATTTACAGAGAGAGAGAGAAAAAAATTATGCCCTAACATGATTGATAAAGAAAGAAAAGTTTCCTCAGTGAGAAAATGTGAAGTAGAATAGCCTCTTACTGAGCTGGCCATTCCAAGGTATGGAGGGCAGAAGAAATCTTGCGCAGATCAAACAATTTAACTTTCTTATCAGCAGATCCAGTTGCTACAACCCATTCATTAAAAGGATTAAATGCCAGGGATTTAACCTGTATCAATAATTAATAAATGTTAGCTAGGATAGTAACATAAATTGACCAATACTTCCTTACTTGCAAAAAAACTTTACAATATAGGTATGCTTGTAAAGATCTCAATGGAATAAATCATCCTCTACATATATGTTTGACCCCATTTCTGCACTCAAATACTCACCTCAGCACTATGAGCAAGTACAGATTGACTAGGCCTGATCACTGGAGTGCGCATATCCCATATACGTAGATATTTATCTTCTCCAACTGAACCGAATAAATTTTCATGCTTCATATGCCAAGCTACATCCTCAACACATCCATCATGAATCTATTAGAACACCATCATAAGAACTGTTTATCAGCATAAAAAACAATATGAGAAACTTAAATGTTATGAAGTTGGGGATTACTCACACTATCTGATGAGGAAACTTCCAACATTATGTTATCTTACTAATTGTTTATTAAAATGCATTAATGAAAAATCTCTCACAAAATTGGGAAATACACAATGATTATGCAAGTAAAAGGAACTTGATAAAACACATAAGGCATACTAGCGCTTATATAGTTAATGCTGATACATACACTAAATATATGCATGGCCTCAAGTTTCTTAAAAGTTGGAGTGACATTAACATCCCACATGCAAAATTGACCATCCTCTGAGCCACTTAACAAATGACCCTTCTTAAATGGACTCCACGACAAGGCATGCCCTTCATCGCTGTGACCAGTTAACCTCAAATCAGGGTTGCAAGCACCATGAATATGAGGCTTGGGTGGATGTTTGGAACAATCAAAAATGAAAATTTGAGAACTAATTGTCTTGGTGGCAATAATACTCGGGTTTTGTGGCATGTAACGAGCCCGTTTAACTTTCCCATCATGCCTCATTTGCTGAACAATACTTACCTGCCACAGAAATATTTAGTATTACACACTTAAGTCATTGCCTCAAATAGCTATAAATTTGTAAAATAGGCGAGAAAAGATACTAAAGGAAAATGAGGCTCCAAAACAAAACTACTATGAATGTTCACATTGAAGTTGAAGATAAGTACAGAGTCTATGTTTTCTGAATTGTGATACCTGC